TTGATCAAAGTCTTACTATGTGTCAGGTATTTATGATATGCTAAGGCTACAGATACAGATAATCAGGCTCAATCCTGGCCAGCGGGAGCTCACAGTGGGGCAGAGAGCAGACAAATAAGCAGAACATCAAATACATAGAGAACACTTAGTGGAAGTGGAATGAAGAAATCTTAACCCAGATGGGTTAGGGGAAAGGAGGGGTCAGTGAAGGGTTCCTGGAGAAGGTTGTCTTTGAACAGAGCCTCAGAGGATATGTGAACGTTAACCTGATGAATGGGGAAACGAGACAATATGAGGGTATTTAGGCAGAAGGCAAAAAGTGAGCCTAGTGAAAGTATTTAGGCTGGATGGAAATGAAGAACAAAGGAGCAGAGAGGCAGAAACTATCATAAACCCTCTTGCTCTCTGGTTTAACTTTAAGCTGAAAATCTTAAATCTGTACCTTGGCCCAAACTACCCCTTCTTCATCTGGATCCTTTTCCCACTCCATGTTCAGGGTTACTGGTTTTTCTAGACATTTGGGTTTCAATCTGAGATTGGCTACAACCCAGCCTTCGTTACCAGCACAACTGTAGTCATTCTATGCATAACTTTCTATATAATGCCATAAACCCACTAATAAACACAATTGGAGAGACATTAAATCTGTAGGAAAAGTGGCTACCCAAGGCACTATCAACGTGAGAACTCTTGAAGTAACACACAAACAGAGCAGAGGGTAAAGGAAAAGCATAACCGGTGATCTGCCCTCCTAATCGGCACTTTCTCACGTACACATAGGGTAGATTTATCCTTTCCGTTAAAACTGTAAATCCTACCCATATTTTTTGAGATTTTGAAAGAAACAAGATCTTAGAGAGCTCTGATATGAACATGGAAAACTAATGTGGATCTCTTTGGAGCATTTTGGCTGATGACTTTTAGTCACGTCTTCATTCATTAGGGGCATATATTAGATAGACTAGGGCTTCCCTGATAACTCACTTGGTAAAGAATCTGCCTTCAATGCAGGAGACCCTGGTTTGATTCCTGGGTCGGGAAGATCCCCTGGAGAAGGGAAAGGCTACCCACACTAGTATTATGGCCTGAAGAATTCAGTCTGGCCCCTGTACAGTCCATAGGGTTGCAAAGAGTTGGACACAACTGAGCAACTTTCACTTTTCATGAGATAGAATAAAACTAGGTGAGAAGCTGTACAGATAGCTGCAGAGTGTTGCAGGCAAGGAAAACAGCCAGTGCAAAAAATCCAGAAGCAAGAACTTGTATGTTGAAAGAACATCAAGGAAGCCAGTGTGGCTGGAGAGGAGTTGGTAAGAGGAAGAATAATAGGAAATGATGTCAGAGAGACAGTTAGGGAAGAAGGCAGATTACACAGGGTCTTGAAGGTCCTTTCAAGGCTTTTTTTTTTTTTAAGGCTTTTGTTTTATTGAGCAAATACAAAGACTTGCCAGGCATTTGAACTGAGGAAATACATTGACTTCTGTTTTCAGAAGACCATTCTAGGTGCTACTTGTTGAAAAGAAACTTAGAGGTTGAAGTGAAAGCAGAGAGACCAGTTAGGAAGCTGTCACAATAATCCAGGCAAGAGATGATGGATTGGATGATGACTTGGATTTGAGTAGTAACTGTAGAAATGGTGAGGAGTGATCAGATCCTGGATAGATTCTGAAGTGATAGTCAACTGGACTTCTGAAAGAGTGCATGTGGAATGTGAGAAAAAGAGGAGTTAAGATTGCCATATTAGTTGGCTAGGTATGCTGTAACAAAGCCACAAACTGGTGGCTTAAACAAGAGCAATTTGTTGTCCAGCAGTTCTGGAGGCTAAAAGGTCCAAGGTCAGTGTTAGGGGTGTTGGTTCATTCAGTGTGAGGGAAGGATATGGTTCAAGCTTCTCTCCTTGGTTTGTAGATGGCTGTCTTCATGTTTACATGGCACTGTCCAGTATGCATATGTTTGTGTCCAAATTTCCCCAAATTTAAAAAGAAAGGATGTCAGTCACACTGGATTAGGGCCCACCCTAATGATATCATCTTAACTAATTTCATCTGCAATGACATTATTTTGAAGTAAGTTCACATTCTAAGATACGAGGGGTTAGGAATTCCACATACTAATTTGGAGGGGATACAATTCAGTCTGTAACAGATGAATTCAAGACTCTTGGCCTAAGCATCTGAAACATGGAGCTGTCATTAACTAAGATAGGGAAGGCCAAAGGAGGACCAGGGATTATCTTTTAGAGAAGAGACTTTTTTTTAAGGTATGAATCTAAAATTTGAGAGAGAAGTCTGGATTGAAGATACATATTGTCTATCATTATATGTATCTATGTCTGTGCATATATGTGTGTGTGTGTATGTATATAAATGTACACACATATATATGTGTATTCTCTATATAACATATATATACACATACTCATACACATATATACTCCTATAAGCATATATACTTATATATGTATATATGCATATATAAACATACTCCTATATACATACATGTATTTGTATATGTGCATGTGAACATATATTTGTGTGTGAATATTATACATATATGATTTGACATATGTGTGTGTGTGTGTTTGTCATTGTAGGTGATATTTAAAGCTATAATCTGTTAATAGGTGACATCACCAAAGGTGTGATGAGAAGAAAAGTAGACCCAAACTGAACCTTGGGGCTCTCTGTGATTAAGAGGTTGAAGAAAAGAGGTGACTTAGAGAAGCCCCTTAAGAAACATTGTCAAAAACAGAAAAAAGAGTGAGAGCTATAGCACAATATAATTTATGAGAATTAATATCCACACACAGAACCACAATATAAGAAATAAAAAATACATTAATATATGTATATTAATGTATTCTTTTTTGTTGCTAGAGGAAGACTTTCATGTTTTGCTCATTTTTTAATTGAAGTACAGTTGAATTATAATATTGTATTAGTTTTAGGTGTATAGCATAGTGATTTAGTTTTTTTGCAGACTATATTCCATTATAGGTTATAAGATACTGGGTATAATTCCTGTGCTACACAGTAAATCCCTGTTGCTTATCTATTTTATGAATGGTATTTTCTATCTGTTAATCCCATACTCCTAATTGGCCCCTCCTGCCCTCCCCTCCCCTTTTGTAACCATAAGTTTGTTTTCTGTGTCTGTGAGTCTGTTTCTGTTTTATATATACACTTATTTTTGTATTTTTTTTAGATTCCACATATAAGCCATAACATACAGATTTCTCTTTTCTCTGACTTATTTTACTATATATATATGTAATATACATATAACATATGTGTGTGTGTGTGTGTATTTGTATACATAAAATTGTTACAGTACCTAAAGAGTTCTGAATGGGTTCTGCTAAGGTCATGTTCTTCCTGGGAAAATTGTAGCAGTTGCAGATGAAACTTAAGAATGTCTAGGCCTGGGCCAAATGATAGTGGACACTGGAAAACACTGTTAATAATCTAAAGATAATATCTAATAGTGGCTAAGCATTTCCTATATGCAGCCATCATTGTAAGCCTCTTATGTGTGTCAAATCATTTAATTAATACAAAACACAGATAGTTACCATTAATAGCATTTTCCCCATCTCATAGATAAGGTAAGGTATACAGAAAGATTAGGACCTGCCCCAGCCCCATACCTATCAAATAGCAAACTCAGGATTAAAATGCAGGTACCCCAGAACCCGTTTTCCCAATTACTGTGGTATGTTACTTTCACGATGTCATGACTGACAGCTCCTCAGAACCACAAGGGAAGGGAGAGGAGTGGTTCTTTGAAGCAGAGAATTAGATGCAAAGGAAAACTACCAACAGCTCATATAGTGGTTCATTAGTTTCACTTATTTAACTAAACATTAATCAAAATATTCAACAAGCATCTGATAAACATCTACCATGAGTTAGGTCACACATCATTCCTTAAGATGTATAAAAAGATGAATCCATTCACTGTCACCAAATGTCTCTCAGATCATAAATTACAAAGGAGCACAGGAAAAAGTACCTTCTTTACATGATAAAACCATTTTGTCTCCAAAGAGTCTTACCACATTGTATTTAAATATCGTTTTTAAAAAATCATTTTATGGTATAAGCTTAGATTTTATAACTTTGAGTAGATAGTAAATATAAAAGCAAACAAATTAAATTTGTTTGACTGATTCAGCCAGAATCATTTTGTTAAATGAATGTAGTTGGGTTTTTTTTAAGGAAAATGTTGCACTCAGGCTCTGAAGAAAAATTTTTTAGAGAAATATGTTAATAAGCTTTATTTTTTTTAACACCAATTGTGTTAGGAACTTAAGTTACATTATCTCCAATATTCCCCAGTTTGAAAGAAAAATTTTAATTACTTTGAAAAATATTTTAACAATGGCAGCTTATTGAGATAAAAATGCTATCATTCAACAAGTATTTACTAAGTGCCTGTATATGGCTTAACTTTGCCTGGAAATCAAAGAAATACAAATTGAAAATATAAAATGGCATATTCAATGTTGAATTGACAAGTTTTTTATATAGAATATATTTATGAAGATAAACTATTTTACATTCATCATAAATGTAAATTGGGAATATTTGTAGAGCATGGACAACCTTAAAAATAACCTCTGATCATTTCATTTCTAAAAATTTGTACCCCAAATTACATACACATATGCTAAAATATGGCTACAATAATTTTCCTCAGAGATTATTTATGATAGCCAAAAAAAGGTAGACCAGGAAAAAGAATTGTAGCCCAATAATGAATGGTTAAAATATAAGTTGATGTTTTGATACAGTGGAATACTATATACCCATTAAAAGTAAAGTTACAGGAAAATATTTAATGGAATAAAGAAATGGAATACTGAAAGATATGTGTAGTATATAATCCATTTCAATTCAAAAGAATACTAGACATGCATAGCATAAAGACCCTAAAATTCTAGTAGTGTTGATTATTTCTGGGTGGTGAGTTTTCAGGTAATTTAATTTTTTTCTTTGCAGAGGATAGTGAGAGAGCTCACTGCAGCAGCCCTATCACAATTCAGGCCAAGAGGGAGCAGAGGTTTTTCCAAAGAGAAGAAACTGGGCAGAGGCATTACTTCAGCCACATCAAAGATGGTAACATGCTGGTGAACATCTAAGTGCTAGTATTCATTAGGAAATCAGTCATGTAATTTAATGCACCCTACAGTGTTTATCCAATCCCATAAGAATGTAGAATATTTCTAAAGCATATGTAATTGATTTTCACTTTTCTTTGTAGTTCTCCATCATCCAGTTATTTATTGTTTCTAACAAGTATGGTTCAAATACTTTCACAATATTGTATAAATACATCTTTCCTTTTTTGGGCAGCCATGACTACATTAACATTTAGCTCTTGACATATTTTGTTTATGTTAATCCAGAGTTTCCAAGGACAGAGATGCTATTTTACTCATCACAGTGCCCGGTATGCAGCAGGCTCTCAGTAAACACCAGTGAAAAACATTTAGTCATAAGCTTCTATTCTCAACTCTTTTTGTTTTATCAGGACATTTTTCCTTGGTCAAATATATTAACACATATCTTCATAGTGCAAAATTCCAAACATATAAAAAGAAACTGCATTTTAGTTTTCAAGGGATGAACCTATAAAACCTGTGAATAATCAGCTTTCCTTCTTTGAAACTATTTTGTATTGTCATACCAATGCAATTAGACCAGGTAGGTTGAAACTATCCTCATAGGTAGGTAGATGGAGCCAGGAAAGTAGATGAAACCTCAGAAGACTTCATAAGTCCCTCGGGAGCAGTAACTTCCAAAATACACTGATTCGTCCTGAAGTTATAGCAGCAGCCATTATTAACATATCTATGGTTCATAATGAGCCCATTTCTTACAAAGTTTCAAATGGTAAAATTTCCAGTGCCTGACAACTAGGTTAAATCTGTTTGTTGTTAAATTATTAAGTGAACAAAGGGAAATGGAGTATAGATGAATAAAAAACACCCTAACATTATTTTGCATGATGTGAAATACTAACATCACTGTAGTTTGAGAATTACAAATTCAGGATCAATTAGGAAACAAAATCTATTCTTGATACATTCAGACCAAACTCCAACACCTACTAATACAGGCAGGCAGTGCAGTGAAGTGGTAACTGCCCCAGATTAAGTGCATGTTTGGACATTACTGAGTGGAGAAGAGGGCGGTACACTGAGGAGTGGGCTCCATTTCAAGGGGTGAGGCTGACTGTGTTCCAGCCCCTTTTACCATGTGGGAATGCAGGCCCAAATTTGCTAGTTCTTATGTAATTTTTTTTTTAAGAGAAACTTGAAGTCTAGATTTTTGTTTGAAAACTCCAAAATTCCAAATGTTGGCTCAAAATTTAAAGACAGACTATATCTATATGTTTTGTATAAGTATCTGGCCAGAAGGTCATCAGTTTGAAACCTCTGACTTTGAGCTGTGTTTGAAAATATTTAACCTTAGGACATGTTTATGTGTGTTTGTGTGTCTATGCATGTGTTTGTGTTGTTGCTGCAATAAATATTTGGTGGAAACTGAGAAGAAAAAGGAGTTAAGTCACACTGTGAGGAGGGTTCTAAAGCACTGAGGTGAGTTAGACACACTATATAAAAAATAGATAACTAATAAGAATCTAATGTATAGCACAAGAAACTCTACTCAATACTCTATAATGACCTATGTGGGAAAAGAATCTAAAAAGAGTGGATGCATGTATATGTATAACTGATTCACTTTGCTATACAGCAGAAACTAAACATTGTAAATCAACTATAGTCCTGTAAAATTTAATTTTAAAAGAAGGACTAAAGGATGTATCTTTCAGGGAGAGATTGATCAGTGGGATGTGTCAAAAGCATATTGAGTTATTTCTGAATTTGCAAATATTTCTTCCTTTGTGATCAGGCCATCTGTGTTTGCTGACATTCATATCCAAGTTAGGCCCCCATCATTCCACAGAGACTGAGAGATACAGACACTCTCTCTCTTGATGGTTACATATCAAAGGCTAGCTCCCAGGTCCTTGAGGAAGACATTCATGGGTTGTAAAACAGGTAAGAAACTTTTTAAGAAGTCGACATCTCAAAGGGAGCAAAAACAGAATGTACAACTGCACGTTTTCTAAGGTAAGAAAAAGGAGGTCAGGGATTCAGGGTCAGAAAGAAGCCTATCTGAAGTTTTGTCAATCTGGAGGGAACATTAAGGCCATCTTGTTCATAGAGTGGCAGATGTCGGTGCTTAGCAAACTATTGATATATCAGTAGGTTGGATTTAAACAAATGGAAACTCTAGCCTTGCAGCTCTAGCTTAGCATCCCCTGCATCCTTTCCCCTACATCCTCCCCAGTGCCTAGTGTACCAGGAAACCATGATGTGCCAGTGGTGGTGGCTAAGTAAGATTTCTGTCCATTCAAGAACTTGGCGGAGAAATCCATTCTGTCCCTGCATTCCTTCCAGGAATACCTGCTTATAGCAGTACCAGTATGCTTTTACCAGCTGTGCAACCCTGAGAACCTTGGTCTTTTCATCTAAATAAGCTATTCTGCACAGTATTTGTATGCGCAGTAAATGTGATATGTATGAAACTCTCAACATGGTGCCTGGTGTTTAGTAACAGTTCTCATTTATGTCATTATATTATTTTCATGGAATGATGAACATATTATGCCACTAGTTGCAATACACAGAGAGGTGGAAGAAAAGTTAAATGAATGGTGACTTAAAACGAACAGAACAGAGCAGAAGAACCGATCCAGGAGGCAGGAACTGTTTCCACAGTGCCATGCCATTCCCTCCACAATTCCACACTATTTTCTGCCCAGGTTTCTTAGTCTCGTTCCTTCAGACTTAAATATTTCCCCATGTAGACCTCAAATCTTCATGTTATTTAGACCAAGGATATAATGCAGTTAAAAAAATCATTATCTTTGTTGTATTTCCTTTCTTACATTTATCACTTGTAGCATTTTACCTAATGCTATTTACTCTCAGAGTCCACGTGGAAGCAAACTAACTTTTCAGGAAGTTCTTTGCAAATTCTCCCCACCCTCTCCCCCAAATATTTTTCTTTGTTTGTATCTTGGTAGCAATTCTAAAAAGTTTTCAAGATTTGGACTCTGCTATCATAATTGTGCACAGAGTATCTACACAGAAGTGGTCTGCTTCATCATCCAATGAGCTCTGCCTCTTCGTGGATGTGACACTCCAATGGAGGGAAGCCAAGAGCCTATAGTAGCGATCCTGGGGAAAATTTAAGCAGCTGTGTTCATGTAATTGAAAACCTCTGAAAAGTGCTGCAGTCCGTGCACAGCGTTAGTATAACATGAGGGCTGGGGCTGGATGCAGCCCGTTCTCTGGAGGACTTTGCCTGCTGCAGGAAAGAGAAGGCTGAAAGACAAACCTGGGTGCAGCCGGAAAGGTCCAGATAGATGAGCTTGTGGCATCCATTCCCCAAATTCAGGTACTGTAAACCTTTGTCTGTGAACTTTCTGCAGTAAGCCAAACTAAGATTCTGTAAATTATAGAAGTACCTGAGAAGACAGGAAGAGAGAAGAGAGGAAGGAAAGTAATTATACTTAAGCTGTTTCCTCACATCTTTGTTAAGCCACTATGACAAAGAGAAGTAAAGCTGTAAATTAATCTTTTCTCCTTGCAGATATTCAAGAGTTGAACTTCATTGTTAATTCTCTTCCTGTTAAGGAGATTTCAATAGCATATCAGATAATGCATAATAACATTTCAAATGAAAATAAAGATTTGTCTAGATATTTAAGAAAACCGATTGGGATAAAGCTTTGGGGGCGGGGGAGGTCTGTGCATTCATATTGTTTGCAAGTTAGTTTGTGTTTGAAAGCAGTTTCAGTTTGTGTTATTGTTGCATTTAGCTTTTATATTGGAGCACCGAAATAACAGTGCAAATGTCTAGGAGGACAAACTCTTTGTAAACATTTAAATGGTGATTAACTGTTACATGAGAGTTAGGATTTGGGGCAGAAAGGAGGCAAAGTTAAACATAATAGGCTCTTAAAATGGGCATAGTAAGCAAATGGGTTGAAAAAATAGATTTGCATGTGCATGATTTTCTAAGTAACAGTTTCATTATTATAACTAAAGAAAGACTGATACACAGAGCTTAAAAGTGGATTAAGAACAGTCTGCAAATGTATAGGCAACATATGAGAGGAATAAAACCATATCAGAGGCTATAAATCTCACTGGAGTTGCAACAGATTAACTATGGCATTACCACCATAACCAAAATGAGAGCTTTCAGGAAAAAGGAGGGTCTTTAGGACAACTCTCTGCAAGACTAACAGTTTGAGGACACTCTATGGGCAACTTTCAAAGTCCTGCTAAGCCTGGTATTTTTTAAAAGTGCAAGAACTCTCACTTCTGCTCTTGTAATAGAATTAAACAACATGCTCTTGGCTTGTGATCTGCAGCAGTTTAACAGTGAACTAGAAAGCAAAAAGAACAAAAAGTAGGAGGAAAATGCCTCTCTGTCCCTCAAAAGCCCACAAATGACTATTAAAGTTTACTTTCACATAAATGGAAAATTAGATATGCAAGCTTTGATCATTAATCAGATTTATTTCCCAAATCTGAAAATATTATATGATATAATTCATATTTCATAGCGGATTATTTGACTCACACACATTTCCCTCTGGTAATGGCTATTTTCCCTGAGATTCAGTAGAACAGAGAGAGGTCTTCTGGATTCCCCAGTGGCTGGTGGGCAGGGCTCTGAAGGAGAAAGCAGCAGTAACATCCCAAAGACATGACCCTTCTGGGGCCCCTGAGAGCATTGCCAAAGTTTTAAAAATGTTTTATCTTCCTCTCCCTGAATTATACGCTTGTGATTCAACTAAGTAAAATACAATTTTCTTGGGGGGTTGTCATTCCTAAGAACTTTTTAGCTTTCCAATTTGGAGAAAGGAATAGTGAGGCAGGCACCATGACACAATGGAAAATACACAGGGTTTTGGAATCTGACCAAATTGGATTTGAATCCCAGCCCTGACACTTACTGCAACTGCCCCTTAACTGCTGAGACTGTTTCCGCGTTTATTAAGTGGAGATTATAGTATTATCTTTTTTTTCAACCCTGACCAACTGTGGGGCCTCCAGCTTTCCTGAATCTTAGTTTTCTGTAACATGAACATCTGTAACATGAACATAACGTATCTGCTTTTTCCTCTTAATAAAGATGTGGCAATTACATAAGAATGTATATATAATAGTATTATATTGAGGGTGATTTTTGATGATTAAAATCAGTAGGGATATGGTAAAACCTTTAAAAATACATATATTGTTATTATTGCTACTACTGTCTCAAATAATACATATGAATTATTCTTACAAAGCTTGACCTTTTTTCCATTTAATGGAATAGGTACTTACCTGACAATAGTGGTACATACAACTAATTTGAAGAGTTTGAGGGGCCTTGTATTCCATCTGTACCCTATTTTAGTCATGGTGGTAAAATCATGTGTAATCTGTTAACCCCAGTGAGATTGATAGTCTTGCTGTTGTTTCTGTTCCTCCATCTGTTGCCCATTTATTTGCTGACTGTTCTTCCTAACCTATTTTTTAGCTCTGTCCATCAATCAGTCTTTCTTCAGGTATAATAAGGAAACCATTACTTACATAATCATGCATATTCAAATATATTCAAGTCTGGTCCAAGTCTATTTTTCAGTTTAAGTGCATGTGATCCATTAACAAATACCAAAAATGAGAATTGAACAAGCAGCTTTTAACTTTTTTGTGTGTCACAGATACTTTTGGATCTATGTCCCCTTTGTCAGCATAATGTTTTTAATGTAAAATAAAATACAATTACAAAGGCAGCCAATTTTATCCAAAGATATTATTAAAATATTTTTAAAAACAAAATGAGTGAAATAATTGTATATGCTTCTTTATTAACATGTTAAACAACAACATCTAGTGACAGGTCTATTAACTACAATGCTTTTGAAGCAGTACTGAGTACCAATGATAATTTTAAATATTTGTAACAACTATAAGAAAATACATATGATAAGAAAACAATTGTGATTTGTATGGATGGAAGAGTCCCAGGGACTGATAATACTACCCTGATTTTTTTAATATATATTTCAGTTAGAGCTTAGTGAAAATAGAGATTTTTTTTTATCCTATCAAAATTTATCAAACCCCTGATTTCCATTCATGATCTTCTTGGAGGATCCACTGACCCCAGGTTTGGCAAAAGTCACTTAATTAAACTAAATGACTCTGAGATTCAAAGTCTAGATCTATCTCTTCAAAGTGAAACCTCATGGGAACCATCAGTTTGAAAGTAAAACACAAATCTTGAGTGGCTCTGTTAGCCTTTCTAGGCTTTTATAGTGCTGCAGACTTGAGCTTTGGGGGATGAGAAAAATATTGGTTGACAGTGAAATCACACTTGGCAAATTTTATGCAATATTGCCACTTTTTATCCTGAATTTTGATAAAGAAATATGTCCCTTATATGAATTAGATCTGGTTAATCATTTTTCCAATCCAGAGATGACTTGATCATTCTAATTATACTTAAGGCAGTGTTTTCAGACAATGTTTTCTAATTATTTGATAATTTTTTCTTATGTGTGTGGGGAAGGTTCTCTTTGTGATTTATTTTTCTACTGTTACTATAATCTTTAAGACATCACAATTCTTACAGAAACTACAGAGATCACTTTTTCTTCATTCTTTGGGTTTTTTTCCCATTAAGGTATTGAGGCCCTCTTTGTTAGATCTTCAACACCTGAGGGTACCTATTACTAGAAGGAATGTAGAATTCTGTATTTAAATTAACATTTCTCTGAAAAATCTCAACACAAGGCCCAGTCTGTAAAAGAGAGTATTTGCATATGGATTCTTTTGAGTTGAGTACTGGACTTAGTCTTGCAGAGGCAGTTTTTAAATAGAATTCCTGCAGAAAATCCAAATGCAGTGACTTGACCTCCTTTATAGGGTGGACCCTAAGGATTTCCAGTCACGGCCACAGCTTACTCTGTCTACCCCGCTCTGATGAACTGTGGCAAGACTATATAACATGAGAATACTTGTCAATAAGAAGTCACCAGTCAATTTAAGGGTTGATTCATCTATAGGAAAAATAGACATCATGCTTCTATAGCATATAAGTTTCCATTAAGAAGCAAAGATCATAATATTAATATCTTTACTCACCACTCTGTGCCCAGAATAGTTGGAAATAGCAGTTGATCAATACATGGTGAATAAGTGAATGAGTGTTGCTACTAGAACTCAGGGAGGAATCACTGTGGAGTTCTGATAGATGGTATGATTTGAGATGTAAAGTCTGCAGATTAGCAAAGAGAAGAGAAAGGCATTCTAGCTTGTAGAGAAAGAGAAGCATGTAGCAATCAACTGACCAGAGTTGAGAGTTTCCTTTGGAAAACCTAGTCAGATAAGTTTGATCAGATAATGATAAAGAACAGTAAAAGAAGAGTCCAGACCTTAAGCATGTCAAAGACATAATAAGACTAAGTTCAGGACAATACGCCTCACAACATAAGGGAAGAGAGACCAAGGGTGCACTATCTGGATGCTGCACCAAATGAGGTACTGAGAATGCCACCTTGATTGTGGCAATGGAATAAATGGACAGGGTTTAATCCAGGAAACATTTAAAAGCAAAAAATACTTTGGAATGGGCCTGAGCTATGGGCAGCCCTTGTTTTCAACTTTAGAAAACTGAGCAAGTCCCCAAAGAAGTGAGGAAAAATATTCAGATAAAAAATTGGCAAATCACTTTTGCCAAGAAAGGCAAACAAATTACATTTTTCTTTGGAAAGAAACACTAAAGGCACCAGAGAGAGAACAAGAACAGCAACAAACAACACTTCTCTAGTTATTTATAGCTTAAAAAATGTTATTACATACCCAGTCATGATTAAAACAATAGAAAGCAGAGCAGAAATAGAGAATCATTATGAGATGTATTTTTATTATAGATAAGAAAGCCAGTGTACTTTTTTTCATATGATGAAAAACATCAGTATCAAGTAGCATTTATCCGGAATGTTGTCTCAATAGCAAGAACTAGAAGTTAAAATCAAAACAAAATTCTCATTTTAGGTCCTATTTTCCTATATGTTGCCCACTAAAGATATAGCTTCATTTGTAAAATAAACATCCTTAAAAAACTATGCAGAGCTGTACTATTATTTTAAATTTTCTAGAAGAAAAAGTTATCTCAAAGTATGGTTGGGAAAAATGTTTTGAGTTTAAAAAAAAAAAGTGATATATGCTACTCCCAAATCGTCTACTTAAAAGAGTTCAGATTTTCACATATGGATTTATAGATTTTTAAACATGTATCTCTCTCTCCCCTCTCCAGCCCCCCCCCCCGAATCACTTTCTATCTATAGATAGATCAAATACAATAAACATACACACATGTACTATATATAT